TGGTGATGYTGTAGATCARCRAAAGCTGGACTTCATCTAAAATCTTTACCATCTAACAACAGTATCTGGCCGCATTTGCTATATCATTACAATCTATTACTCTACTGACATGCTGCTGAAGGATAACTTCTCAAGATTAAATGAAAATGAGTTGCTAAAAATGTTATAAATATGATTTAAATGTCTTAAATATGATGATTAATTAAATTTAATTCATTATATCATACTTAAAATGTTTCAGATATAGATGAGTGCAAAACAAACAAATTCAATTGTAAAGCAAATGAGGTATGTGTTAACACAAAGGGATCTTACCAGTGCTCTTGTGCTACTGGCTATGAAGCAAGTGAAGATGGCACATGTATAGGTAATTATTTATCATATAAGCAGATGACATATATTCGTGATGTGTATTTATTTATTATTTTTTTGAAACAGATGCAGATGAATGTAAAGATGACACACACACTTGTCATGAAAATGCAATGTGTACAAATATTGCTGGTTCATACACCTGTCGTTGCATGCGTGGCTTTGATGGTGATGGAAAAACCTGTGAAGGTAAAAACCAATTCCTTACATACATCTACTTGCAAAAACGTTGCCAWAAAAATTAGGACATTTGTATTTAGTAAAGAGGAATAAATTATAAAAAGACAAAAGRMGATCAATGAGGCTGAACGGTCTCTTTTGTTATGTTTTAATTTATTCCTTTTTACTAAATTTMAATGTTCTATTTTCTATGACAACGTTTCTGCAAGAAGGTGTATTTGATCAAGGAATGTGATCATACAATCCAACATACATGTAATGAACTCCATTGAGTGCAACTGTTCAGGTGGGAACAAATTACTTAAATGTTTGATTTTTTAGATATCAATGAGTGCACCAAATCTGGTACTGACTGTGATGCCAATGCTTTCTGCATCAACACTAAAGGCTCGTATTCATGTAAATGTAAAGATGGATACACTGGCAATGGCTATGAATGTACAGGTGAAAAGTATTCTCATCAYCATTATAGCTATTATCTCCTGTTGAAGTACATTAGATTAGAAGTTTACAATGTACAGTTGACCCTCTTTGAACAACCACTCTTGTAAACAACCGTAATCGACAACCTTTTAAACTTCCCGTTATAATTGTTTCCCATATAAACTCTGTAAAAAAACTCTCATAAGCAACCATCTCTCATAAGGGACCACCTTTTTCATGATCTCRTKGTGGTTGTTAYGGGAGAGTTGACTGTATTTGAATTTTTTAATTAGTGAACAATAGGAGAAAACACAATTACCACTGATCTATTAAACTGTGATTYTTTTATATTATCAGAAAGCCATTGTGATCTTGTGTGTGGTCCTAATGAGATATGCCAGAATATTAAAGATATGTACAAATGTACATGTAAAAATGGATTTACCAATAGAACTGGTAGTTGTRAAGGTATATTCAACCTTCCAAGCCTTTGGTGATTTTGTTAGGAGAACTTGAATTTGTATCAACTCAACGAATTAATGTTTACTTCTATATTTGTTTTGACAGATATTAATGAGTGTTTCTCTGAAATACCGTATTGTAATGATAATGCGCATTGCACAAATGTCCCTGGGTCTTTTCTTTGCCGCTGTAAGAGGGGATTCCAGGGAGATGGAAAAACTTGCACTGGTAAGCAGGATATTTTCCCAGATGAAACTAAGTTTATTAATTTTTTTTTATGTTCGTTTACCACAAAACAAAACGTCCCCTATACCAACAAAAAGACGACATGATATAATTATAGATGTGCATTAATATTATTAAACAGATATTAATGAGTGTATCAAGGCAGATGTTAAATGTGGTGAATGGTCAAAGTGTGTGAACACCCCAGGATCATATATCTGTCAATGTGAGGAGGGTTTCGAAGAACAAAATGGTCTTTGCTCAGGTATGGTTAATTTCCCATGCATAACATATTAAACTATCTGTTTCTCAATCCAATCGTTATTATAGGATAATGATTTCATTCACCTTCTCTTTGTTAGTTTCTAACTCGTAGTTATCATTCTTTTCTATTATAAATTTAGTAACATGTATTATACTTCCATTTTTACAAGATGTCGATGAATGTAAAGATCCTGAATTTACAAACTGTAATGAGAATGCATTATGTACAAATGTTATCGGCAGCTATACATGCCGCTGCAAAAGAGGTTTTAAAGGAGATGGATGGAATTGTGCAGGTACTTAACTCTTATTTCAAATCAATCAAATATTTAAAAAAATGAAATTAATAG